AACAAGATTTTAGCTTCTTTTTTTTTTTTTTCTTTCGTAGTGCTGTCTAGTGCTCTATTGAAGACTAAATTTAAATAAAAATGTCTAGTCCGTAAGAGCTCAAGTTTTTAAATGAGGTTATCTTCTTCAGTCAGCTTTTGTTTGTAAGTTCTTTAGCTAAAATATTGCAGGAGAGCTTACAAGCTTGGAACTACAGGAATTCATTGCGATGAAAATAGTTCTGCTCCGCCGTGCACAGGGTAGAATTTACCAGTTAATTACTTCACTTCATTTGCGTTCGACATTTTTGAAATTTGATCTTGGTTTTCTTTGCGACGACTTTTTAGGGGAATGCATTTGGTACAAATTAATTTCTCATAGAAAAAACTTCGATTAAGATACGTCTATTTTGCAGGTGGATAGAAGTGATGGCCCCCGTCTTCTCAAAGGCTGCCTGGCGCTGTGTATGGTACATGATCCAGGTAGTGTTGAGTACCGTGTCTCAAACATGCTTTAGATACTTAGATACATGACGATGCTTGATCATAAGGATGACAATTGATTGTTTGAAATTATTCGCAGAATGACCTGATCCATGCTTGGGGATTAGACATGCAGCTTGGCTATTGTGCACAGGTAATTCCCTATCGCTGACTATTCTTTCAAACACTCTGTTTCTCAATGTTCTATTTTATAACTTGGCGTGCTCGTGCATAGGGCGACCGAACAAAAAATATAGGAGTTGTCGATGCAGAATACATTGTTCATCTTGGTGTCCCAACACTAGGAGAACCTGATAACAAGGTAAATTCTTTGATCCACTGTTACATTTGTTAGCATCCAACACATGAACTTCAATGGCATAGGAGTGAGAAGCTCGAAAGTGAATTTGTAGGTCTCGCGTTCTAGTCCCGGAGTTTAGTGTAGAAGTGGCGTTACATACACGATAACAAACAATATTTTAACTTCTTTTGTACACTATCCCTTCGAGCACTGGCAAACCCACATGGGGTCAAATGACCCCACAAATTATTATTATTATTATTTTTTTGAGTTTTCCTCGAGTTTTTTTTTTTACCTAAATATTTTTGGATTCTCATTTTCAACCCCACAAGAAAAATGGTCTCGGTCCGACCCTACCTTCGAGCGTGCCAAATAGGGCATATGCGCACAAGTATTATGCTAATCTTTGTTATTAATATCAATTGATGTAGATGAAAGCAGTATCGAGTGGGGATACTTCTCAAGTTGAAAGCAAGGAAACGTCGAATTCCCATGCAATCAACAATAGAATTGAAGTAAGTTATATCTTAAAGATTTTAGACAAAGATGAGTTTGCTCGATTGCAAATGACAATTTTGTCGTAGTATCATCTAATCTACTATATAACACTAACTTTTATTTCAGGTGAGAAGACAATCGTATTATGAGTACAAGATATTCAAAAGGCGGTGGAAGAAAGCGGTTGAGGATGACAAGTGTTGGGTTGATCCGTACCCAGAAACAGAACAAGGGACACGAACCTGATTAAACTTGTTTATACATGTACATTTTTATGATTATGTAAAGAGAACAAGAAATATTGAACAAACAGGACAGGAGTGGTTACTGGTTACAGATTCGTTTTGGAGTTATATGTATATCCAATTTGACAAGGGAAGATACTTTCATGGATCTTACTACATGTACATCAAGATTTACATAATGTCAAACGGCATTTTATCATTTGCTAGGTTAAAATACAATCAATTTTTCATCTAATTTTTTTTCCTCCATATCGTATTATGTAATCCATTATGTACATTTTTTATATACAAGTAGCAAAATCCTACTTTCACATAAACATGCCTTTCAACTTTCAAATCCAAAGACGACGCCATAGCATTTTACAATTTTATAAAATTAGGCCATTAAGACGGCATACAGAGTTCTAAAAATAGGTCGACTAAATAATTAGTTATTAAACAAAAAATTTAGTAATTTATTCTTCGTCCAATTCTCGATACGCTAGAGAATCACTGAATTATGTTATCTATTTTTTGGTCGATAACACGATATGAAATTAAGTTACAATGATTACGATCTACCCTATCACAACATCTATGGGGATCTATATTTCTAGACGAGTAACATTCACTTATTTTGTCAGATATACGAAGTAAGGGTGCGTTTGATTGCAATGGTGGAAAATGGGTGGAAAGAAAATGTTTTATAGGGAAAAGATTTGCCTAAAAAATGTTTTGAGGAAAATGATTTCAAGTGTATTTGATTTGTATAATTTTCCACCTGGAAAATTTTTAAATTTTCTATTCGTTTG